TTCTTTTAAAGTCAATTTGCAAAATAAAAAAATGAAAGAAATGTAAAAACAAATCAATGGAATTGAAGGATTTTTAGCTCACCAGAATTCTTTCAAAGTCGACCACGTTCTTGTTGTTGAGGCGCAGTTTTGTTCTGTTTTTTAAAGCTGAAGCTACGACACATATAGTGGTTGATTTTCTACAGTGTGCAGGGACAAGGCTTGGGCTGGAACAGATCAAGTCCAGTGTGCTTCAGTAGAAGGCAAAATTCAAATCTGGCCCTCCAGCAAACCTATTGGACCCCCTGGCATAAGACCGTAAGTTTTCTTTTTTTACAAAATGTACTTTAGAAACGAATGCAAATGCAAGGCTAATGTAAATCCCAATGAACATGAACTTCTGCCCACACTGGAGTATTGTTAAGCAACACAGACAATACAGCCATATATGAGTGTTTTTTGACGAAGAATCACATGTTCTGCTTTAAACAAACAAACAAAACACCTCTAAGATATTGTTGAGAGATCTGGCTGCATGAAATGTGACCGCAGCTCAACCCTCGGAAGCCTCAATGAGCTTAGACGTGCAAAAAAAAAAAGATAATAATCAAACAAAGGAACACAAACAAAGTTGCCAAGAACTCTGATTCAACCACAGGCAGTCGGCACCATTTGCTGAAGGCGGCAGTTGCCACAGCAGCTGTAGCTCACACTTCACCACAACATCCTGGACAACCCAGTTGCGGCAGCTGAGAGAGCTCTCGCTAACAGTAATACTACGCATCTGTCACTGTGCAAAACATCCTGTATTAACAGAACACACCCAGGCTGTGGCAGACATCCTTTTGGCATATGTGCAGCAAGATTTAAAATAGCTATGGATTGCTAAAAATCAGTCTTAACTTGAGTGTACTCTGTAAGTTTATCTTAAAGAGTAGATAGTGTGAGTTTTTCCTGTGCTCCATCTGTATAAGACAGAGGTACAGGAGGAAGGAAAGTGTGTTTTGCTTCTCTTTTGACATCTAGAAGTAGAGAGGGAGATGTTTGATTGCATGCCAGCAAACTAGTTGACAGATCATTATTAAAGGCTTTGTTCATTTGCTTTTTACATAAGGGGATTTTAATATATCGTGAGCATTGTAAAGCTTCAAATAAAAACAGACTGCATATTCTACAGTTAACAAAAGTTCCTGATGTTGGTCTGTTTTCTGTACATCTTACGACAGCTTTCCCACGAAAGGTAAGAAGCTCCTTCGGGTTGGGTGACCAGTTTAGTGTAACTATCTGATGCCAAAACATAAATTGAATTGGATTTTCATTGTTAAAAGCTAGAAGAGGCTCAGTGTTGTCTTGTGAAACTGAGTGATATTTTTGCACACATGCTCAAGTCTTTCCCAGCCATCTGAGGTACTATCTGATTCTCTAATAACTACAGCACATACACACGGCTGTTTCTGCAGCCCGTCACATACATTTACGAGACATTTGTGTCCTGAAAAGAAACAATACGCCCAAGCTGGTTATCACAAGTTAATGTTAGGTCTCCTAAGTAGGCTCTAACTTAATGTTTAACTGCATCTCTACACTTTGAAAACCTGCATCATGCCCAGGTCACAGGGCATCAGTCAGTTAGGAAACACATTTCAGCCTGGAGAAGGTGTCCCAACAAAATATTTTAAAGAAATGTACATAGAAAACATTTGACCCTCTTTAATTGAACTGATTTATGTGAAACAAACTAGCCCATGATTAAAGCTAATTGCTGACCTCTAGTGTATCGTGTTAAAAATGTTCCATGTTGCCTTTAATACTAAACAAAAAAACAACACAAAGACATACAGGAGTTCACCTGTCTATGTTGAGTCCCTCCATTTCTTCTTGTTATCTTCATAAACCAGTCCCATCATGAAACGTATCACTTTGTCTTAACACTGTTGCAGTGATCTCTGAAAGACACAAAACACATCTTTTTGATATCAGGTGTAGTAAAGTAGGTGTGCAAATCCCTACAAAACACAGGTTAAACTTACAGCTGTGGTGCCATGATGAGCAGAAGGAAAACTTCCCAAACAGGAATCCAAATTAAAATAAAACGGGCAGAGCAGGAGTTGTTTCACTGGCTGGGATTCCTGCTTTGTTGTACACTGGACACTGCCTTTGTCACACTGCAAGGGAAACACAGAGCTATTGCACACACTATTAATTACTTCTGATTCATAACTACACTAAAGGATGCAATATTAAGGTGATATGAATTCTCTGATTACATGATTGTACTGACTGCATGCTAAACTCAACATACTGAACTTAAAAATAAAATTCATACATTCAGAGGCATAAGTAAGATCCAAGATGCAATATGAGAGTACATGTTGTTTTTCTGACCTTATTAGATTCAAGCAGGCATTAACTGTGCAGAAGACATCCTCTGTGTCCATTATAACAGCCGTGTGACTGACCCCAGGCTTTGCTACCAAAATGACTAATAATCTTCCTGTAACACAAAATGTAGAGTTCAGAATCAGAATCAGAAGCTTTCTTATTACCGAGTGAGCTTGCACACACAAGGAATTTGGTGTTATGAATGAGACTGGTACACAACAATAACAAGGCAAGAATAAATATAGAAATCTAGATGGAAGAAATTCTAAATAAAACATGTAAAAGAAAATTATAAAAGTATGTCAATAAAAAGTACTATGAAAAGAGACATAAACTTGCCTAAACCAAGTAATAAATTAGGAAACCGTTTTAATTACAATACAATAGAGTCGGACATGAAGTAAAGAAACATGTTGTATAGCAGCTCCATGGGCGCTGAATACAAAACTATACAATGGCTGGATTAAAAAGTCTTACTGGAGTTTTCAGAAAAGCTAACACTATTACATCAAATTTTATATTTCCAATAAACAGATCAATTCACTCTACATGGTAAAACAAAAAGTAATAATAAATTGAGGTGATCCAGCTACAAATCCCCAAATATGGAGAAAATATATGACTTAAACTATTATGTGTAAATACTCCATTACCAGGATATTCTATAGTTTTAATGAAGCAAATTTTTAGCCCTACTGTTGCAAATATAGTTATTAATTCTAGTGCAACATGAATAATACAACTGAATCGAAAAGTTGCTTCAAAGCTAAATTGAAAACCAAGACAAGATCGACTAAAATCCCTGGTTGTTTGGAAAACTATCATTTTGGAAATGAGGATGAACTGTTGCTTTAACATGAAAACAACAGGATTCTGTCTTGAATCATACAAGGATACTAAGGGTGTGTCTGTTTGCTAAATATGTATAGTTATGCTATGTATAGTGGTGCTTCTGGAGAGGTCAGCACACTGCAGTCGTCCTGTAGATTCTAACAAGTTGTCAGCTGCAAACTGAAGGTCAAAGTGTCAGTAAAATCCTTTCAGAGCTTGAACATATCATTCTAATGTAATGGACAGTTAAGATAACACAGTATCTACACGTCACACATCACATTATTCCTACTTAAATGTATGCATTCACATTCACACCTATGCAAGTGATTATCTACATTCATCCTAATCAACCAGTCTGAACTTCTTTAAATGCAATGTGTATAAAATGCTTCAACTAATGTAACTTGCCCAGAATCACATCTGACACAACGCAAGGCAAGGTAATCAAAAAAAGCAGCTTCCTGAATACTAATTCAGTGCCCACTTTGTAGAGGTTAGACAGAGTGACGTAGGTCTCCAAAATAATACCATCAGCAACACCTCTGAGACAGTAACATGGATATAATGAAATGTCAACAATGATAAGGCTTAAAATAGCTGACCATATGGAAGTTACAGGAAAAAGCAAGGCTGCAAACCAAGCTTTAACTGAGCTTTAACTTGCAAAAATACAGCATGACACGACCTAATGACTGTTAATGTCTAAATGCCAGGGTGAAAATGGAGTAGTACGGGGGAAAAAAAGTCATATTGAGGCTCAGCTGTGATCTTTAAATGGCTATATCAAAATAAAACTTTGGTTTATAGTTGCAGATACCCTGTATTACTTATGCTAAAATTACACAAAGATTTATTCATTTTACTATCAAATAAGATAAACAAAATGAAGTTTTAAGTGTCCACACATGTGCAGCATGTCATTTCTGCAGGACAAAAAGCTGGATGGATGCACAGGGTCTATGATCACTGGTAATCACATGCATCAAGGTAGAAATCTAAACATGGGTCTGTTAATGTGCTCCCTCTAGTAAAGTAAATGCAACAACACAAACTGCCCACTGGATGGTGCTATTTAACCAGGTGTGATTTACGTACCAATTATTATAGATACACTGCCTAGTAGTGGTGTAACAGGTCAAAATAAACCCCCAGCCCAGACTGGACCTGGGTTGAACTGGGTTAGCCTGTTTTATAGCCCAGTTATTATGGCTTAGTCCAGTTTATCCAATCATATCAACCTTCAACTAATACTGAGACATATTAGCTAACCAGCAGGCTGTTGCAGTTTAAGTAAAACCAGCATCATAAATAAGGTAGCAATTACTTGAGTGTTTTCTTTTAATGCTTCTTTGTACTTCCACTTCATCTCAGAAGAAAATACTGTATTGTTTACTTTGCAAATTTAGATTTTTGCAGTGTTTGTACTATTATATAAGTAAAAAATGCAAATGTCTACCACTTGAGAACTTAATCAGATCAAATACACATATGTTGTATATAAACAGCTGCAGAAAAGGATAGGCAAAGAACCAAACTGTAATTTCATGATTGTAAACACATTATATAAAATTAATTCCAATTAAAACTGTTCATTTACCAACTCAAGAAAAGAGAAGTGATTTTTATCACAAAGTAAATAAATAAACATTGGAGTATAAAGTAGGGCTCCTTGGATAACAGAGCTACACTGCCACCAAGAGGAATAACCTGAAAACAACTCAAGTAGATGATTTCTAAGAAACCTAAATTTAAAAGCAGACACGGGAAATCATTGGTTGAGGAGAGAATAACTGGGAAGCACAATGTTTTAGAAGAGGATGTTATACATTTATTATTGAACCAGCTTTTGAAATCCAAAAGACAGGGTAAGGGATTAAAAAATCATTGCACTACTTAATAAAGTATTACTAGAAGTAACTCTCATACAAAATGTACAAATGTTTGTTAAAAATTTCATTATCATCATAACAGGCCTTCAAATGATTTTGGTTACAAATAAAATACATAATGAAACTACTATGACACCATTTTAATGATAGAGTTTCATAGAGTTTGAAGGAAAAATATTCAAACAACCCAGCGACTTGCATGGAAAAGTTTAGCAAAAATGAATTGATAAGCACTAATCATACTGGTTTGCGCCATTTTCTGAAAAGACATAAATAGTGGGACTGAGGTAATTGCTAGTGTACCAAGCAACAACAACAAAAAAAAAAAAACTGTCCAACACAAAACAATCCTAAGACACAAAATGGATGCATACAGTCACAAATATGACCCCTAAGAGAAAAGAAAAGGATGACAGGAAATATTTCCATTGATTCCCATTGGCTAATACATAATTTTATACACTGACAACACTGAAGAAGAGTTTTATAAAATGATGTTCTTCCCAGATATTGATGCACTTGCTAGTTTGCATTTTCTGGAAAACAAAAATCTGGTTTGAACAAATATGTTGGTCTGATGTGGTGACAGTGAGGAGATACAAGTTGTACTTGGAATAAAGAAATGACGTTTTATAAAAGGCATCTCAGATGTAAGACACTGCAGGTGCCTGGCTGAACTTTCCACAACACAACCTCTGTTTATGCAGTCTCTACTGTATGTGGCCTGTGTTAGGTAGTCATCTACACATAAAATACCAGTCGTGATAAATAGTGATAAATTACATCTGAAAGTTTGATCTGTGCTTGAGGTGAAGGTATTTGAGTTACATTTTGACATGCTGACATACAGTGAAGATGCATTATTAACATACACAGACCAAAAACCTTTGTAAATAAACAAGATGTGCGATGGGAATATAAAAGGGTCGACATGTTGAGATACTGAAGAACATGTATTTTTTAATGCATTCACATCTGTTCTCATACACACATTGACTGTGAAAAATGTATCAGTGGTTGGGTTCAGAATGAAAAAGAGCATCTCGGTCTCAAATCTACATATTAAAGTGCTGAAGTGTCAAATCCACCAGTGAAACAGTAGATTTATCTGTGACCTTATGAGCCTTTTCAAACTTGTTTCCTGTCAGTGATGGAGAAAAGGCTTGTTACCCGCCAACACTCACAGAAAAGGTACCACGACAGATACAGTCACATATTCAAAAAGTCTTATTCCCAAAGGAAAACTAGCAAAACTAAGCATGGACAAAGGTTTTTGTTGTTTTAATGAATCCCCATAGATCTGTAAAATTCCAACTGAATTCACATAATATGCCTTGAAAGAGCGGATATGTAGAGACGATGATAAACAACCCTTATCTGTTGTCTTTACTTTTGGAAATACTGTTTCACAAATGCCTTTCAAAAACCCTAAACCTTTACTTTTTCAGACAATAACAATGAAGATGGGAGGAGTCAGAACTGTAACGTGTGAGAAACATGACAAAAAAAATAATAATTCACTTCCCGAGAGGCGTTTCTGCTCCTAAACTTTCATTTTAATCTTTGATTTTTGAACAAAATCTTGCCGTAAAGGTCTGACGTTACCCAGTGAGGGTAAATCAATCTGGAGTGAAAAAAATATAGGAAATAAAATGGACTGTACCACATGAACTGCATAAATACCACAGGAGGAGTAACTCTCACATCCACACACTGGCGCGCACACACACACACACACACACACACACATTCGGAGAAAATAAAGTGTATCTTTTTTTCACTGTTTCAAAGTAGTTCACTCTCTGACACACAGTGTACAGTATCTTTGTCTCACCCCATACAGGCTGCTCTGATGCTGAGGAATGCAAGAATACACAAAGAAGAAATTAAAGTGACTCATTCAGTTCAAAATCATAATGAGTCTAGTGAAAAGGACAGTCTCTGCACGCCAAGATGTGAATGCTTAATTACAACCAGAACAATAACAATGAAATTATCAGAATCTTTGGACTGCCAATTTTCTCTAAATGTTTGTTAGTACAGCTATACAGAACTTTTTCAAATAAGCCTTTTTCTTCTGTTATTCGACCAGAAGACTGAACAGATCCATTTGGAAGGGCTCATGATGTTAAAAAAAAAAATACAAACATATATGTCCATCTGCACATGACACTGTGTATGTTTCGAAGGCCATTCATAGTGAGCAGTAACCATCAGCAGAAGGCAGAGTAGTAGGGCGTAATTAGTCCAGAACAGAAGGCCTATGAAGTCCAGCGATAAAGTGAACACGAGTCAGCAGAAAGTCTCCACGCTGCTAAATGCTAATTCCAGGTGAGAATTACTGTTCGGTATCTGTGGAATGAAGAGTGAAGGTTTGAGGAGCACTGGTCCCGGTAATGTGGCAGAATGTGTAAGCGGAGGCGTATGACAAAGAGGGACAGAAGTTCACTGATTGGTTGGTGCATCCAAAAGGGAGTCAGGGATTGTGGGTGTTGACATGAGGTCACTCGGAGTCCCGCTGGACCTCAGAGGCATCGGCTCGACAGATAGGACAGGTCCGGTTGGCCTAGAAGAAAGGAAAAATAAGGAGTGATAAATAATACGTCTAATGGGTATGAGAAACACACAAGAAAGGGCTCACATTTCATAATTACTGAAGCCATTTACAAGTCAGCAGATTGCAGGTTACTGCTTTACAACTGAGCTGTTTTGTGCCCATTTCTTTTTATTAGAGTTGCAGCAATCAGGAGAATGCCAAGACATAAAAACGGATTTTGCTGTGCCATTTTCCCACAGGATCGAGCTTTACTGCCACAGTGGAAAGTTCATACATTTACAGTTATCCAAAAAAAATGGTGTCTTCACTCACCTTAAGCCACTTGTCTACACATTTGGCGTGGAACTCGTGGTTACAGGGCAAAACCCTCAGGAGCTGGCGAGACTCGAAGTCGCACATACATACCACACACCTGCAACACAAAGGTTTGGAGCATTTTACACACACTCTTTCAGCAAGCTTTTGAATCATTCCAAACAACTCATAAGAACAATTCCAGATGGAAAGCTACTTACAGTGTTTGCTCAGACTGATGGTTGTTGGGGTTGAACCTGTATGACGGAAGCTGTTCTATGTCTGCCTTCGTTAGACCTCGGGGCTTGGCCTCTCCTAGACGCTCTGCAAGGTTCAGCAGGGCCTGAAGTTTCCACACAGAAGAGAAAAGTTTAAAATAAACCGTCATAGTATTAACAGCAGTTTGAAAAGTGGTCCCCCTTTCAAACATCATGTGCTAACATTATTGGCTGAATGCCGTGGCATCAATTTGTCCTACCTCATAGTTCTCCACCTCTCCATCATCCACATCCAGCTCTAGACTGATAGCAGGGGCCACATTTGGGGGCATGGGAAGCATGGACCTGTAAGTGGTTAAAAACAGAAGGTTTAGCAAATATTTACTTTGCAAATTCACCTGTGTGTTTCCAACATAAGCCTGATGAACTGAAAAATGCTTACAAGAAGTAAGGCAGGAAGCTGGGGTGGTAGGGTGATGGGGGTACAGCCTGCGGAGAGCGGTAGCGCCGGCTTGTGAATCGGCGAGGCATAAAATGGGGATAGGGCTGTGACAGACAGAGAGAAGAAAGTTAATTTACCACATCAAGGGTAAAATCTCCATGTTTCAACAATCCTACATTATAATCCAAACAAACATGCCATTTGATTAATGTACTCACCACTGTAAAAAGCTCCTGTGACAGGGGGTCATGGTGTGAAAGGAATTGGAGTGGCGTAGAGGGCGGTAGGGTGGAGGGAGGCTGGGGGTGATGGTGGTGATGGTGGTGGTGGGCATAGCTAAAGCCTCCGCCCACTGAAAGCTGCTCTCCCAGAAGCTCAACCTCATTTTCGATCCTCTGTAAGGGCTGAAATGAAACAACAAAAGCATAACAAGTGTTATGGTGGGCAAAAGATGGCTGCTGTTGTTACATTTTAGCACCAGTTAACTGCGGTACAGTCTTTAAAATCAGTAAACTCAAACTCTAGTCATGTGTTTTATTTTATTATTATTATAAACAGGCAATTTATACTGTAACTTCCTTAATTCTTCGACATTTTTTTTTTTAATGAATAGGCATGATACCCTGTTGATAGCAGAACTCTAAAGAGGGAAACAACTAGTATGGGATGATGACATTGTCCTAATTTTAGTAGCTGTTTTTACATCTTGGTAAAGAGTTTTTTGTCTTCTGATATTATCTAATTGCCCTCCTTTTAAATAAAGCAATTTCATTGCAAATATTATTTCAGGCAGTGAGCACACCCATGTTATCGCACTTGAATTGGCAGTTTCTTCAGTCTTCATAAAACCACAACAAACTGCATCTTCTTAAAAATGACTGGCTTCTAGTGCTTGTAATTACTTTAAGTAGAAAATGATGTAAGTTAAAGTATATCAAAGTTAGATGAGCTAAAAATAAAACATAATTTGTTTACGCACCGATCGTGGCTGTTGCGTCTGGAAAGGCAGGAACTGTCCGGGCGTGGGGAGGTGGGGCGGGTGGTGAGAGAGGTGAGGCGGAGGGGGAAGCAGGAACTGAGGGTCGCTGGACAGCAGTGAGGGGAAGGCATAGGGCACTGGCAAATGTTGCATTGAACACGCCTGTAGCATCTGGATGAGGGTGGAAGAGAAGAAGAAAAAGAGAAAGAAGTTTTAATTGTATGTTTTCTCTCTGCGGTAACTGTAATGTGCACAGTCTTGCCACAAGGTGGCAGCCACAACTGGGAAAACTGACAAGCATCTTCAAACAGGAAAACGTTCTGCTACAATTTTAACCAACTTTCCTCTTGTGCACTTTTCTATTTCTTTGGTTGAGCCATCGTAGACACTGTACAGCACAGAGTGTACTTTTGACTAACAAACAAACCCACACACTCCTACAAAAGAGCACACTGCTATATTCCTCTCACCGGGTGGTAGTGTTGTCCAGTGCTGAAGACCACACTGCAGGCAGGGACCTGTTGTTGTGACGAGCAGGTGGGGGGAAGATGCTGACCGCTGCACAAAGGCGCCGCGAGACCGTGAGGAGGGACGGGAGTCACTGTGTAGGAGACTGGTACACTGGCCTGCTGCAACTGGGGAGAAACCACCTCACAGTTAACATATAGCCTCATACATACCTGCAATGCCTCCTACACAAAAATTGAAAATATTTGCAGACCAACCTGTTCATGCAGGTCCATGACCATGGCTCCTTGCTGCTGCTGTGTTGCATGATGCTGTTGCTGATGATGATGGTGGTGGTGGTGAGCGGCCGGGTGCAATAGCCGTGGCGACAAGGTGGGGGGGTGGAAGGCTCGGGGCTCCTCTGAACCTGCCCCTCCGCCACCAGCCGTGGGAGGCTGACCGTAGGTACTAGGGGTGTGCGTTGGGTATGTCTGGTGTGTGGAGGGATGTGGGTTGTGGTGGTAATTTTCATCTTGGAGCTCTGATGGCGACAGGCGAGGAGCAGGGCCTGGGGTGTAGGGGTGGTGATGGGAAGGCAAGTGCCGGGATGGTCTGGAGAGGCGGCCACGCTGACGCCTTGCTGGCGGGCTGTAAGTTGGAAGAGATATGGTTTTATAGTGGGGACCCTGACTTCAATGGTTACAGTTGAAACGTAGAAATCAAGAGAGCATCTTACCTGCGTCTGTGCCGAGCAGGAGTTAAGCACCTCTCCTGGTGGTAGTGTGTGTGGGGATGAGGCTGTCTCCGACTTTGGGGTCCTGACTCCCAGGGGCGGATGGGGGGAGAAGGGGTGGATGGTGGGGGGGCAGATGAAGTTAGCTGTTCCAACACGGACTGACTGGACAGCCTTTGGCGCTTTGGACTGGGGCTTTCCTCACTCTGCATAGGGAGTGGGTGGAAAATGGAGGAGGGTGAGAGAGCGGATGGGTATTGCGGTTAGTGACCAATAGCACTCACATCAAATAAATCAATTTCACTATGCTTTACAACTCTCCCAGCCTACAACCCAGGCTATTGCATCGACACTATGTTCCTTTTGTGACTCGTGGCATTTCCTGTATGATCCAGTGTGCACGCTCATGTGTTTGTGTGCATGCGTCTGTGAAAGAGAGCGTATTACACCACCAGCACTCAGAGGCCCTGAGGGTACAAAGTCACTTCCTCTTGGCGCGAGGAAATGCAAACACAAGACAAGCACTCACAAGCCCATGTGCGAAATTACAAGTACACACCCTCAACTGGATGGCTTGACAAATACTTTCTCGTACAGTCAAATTAAAAAAAAGTCAGGGATATACACGAAAACAGTGACATAGCTGAACAGCTCAGGTTTAGACTGACTCAGGAGTTATCATATACCGTTTCAATCCTATCGACTCATTTGTGACTCACTTCACTTACTGTCAAACAGTGACTCTCACGCTTGGCTCTTGGTGAGGCAAGAACACACACATACGCCCATGTGTCAGTTCTTAGTCATTCCCCCTTACGAGGACCTTCGCTGTGCTCACAAGAACACACAGGTTCTCTCTCTCACACACACACACACACACACACTTTTTTCCCCCCCCTTCTACTTACTTGATCCCTGCTTCCACCTCCCCTCTTCGTGGGAGAGACACATTGTTAAAGTGTGATAAAAAATGACTCAGCGGCTGTGACTTTTTAGCACACACACAGGCACACACATCCACAGCTCAGCAACCTTGAGAGCAGTGTGATAGCTAACAGGAAACAGCTGGAGAGCAGACTGCAGAAACACACACACACACACACATACACATACAGAGTTATGGAAACGCCTGCAGACATGCGCAAATTCACATTCACACATGGGCAGCTGCCACTGTTTGAGTTCTACAGCCTATAAAGAACAATACCTTCTGAAGCTCTTTAAAGGCAAGCTCTACTGTTTTAACAAAACAGAACAAAATGTATTTTGACTGTAGGGCCAAACAGACTGTACACTAATGGCTCGCTCCCAGTACTGGATGTGACCTGAGCTTGACCAGTTTATAGGAAAGACAAACAATAACAATGACTTCACTTAGTCTTGACCAGAGTGAACTGAATGATAGGAAAGCACTGGGAAGAAGGAAGAAATAGAACTCGACAGGTGAAGTCTGGTTAAAGCTTTATAGCCCACAAGATTCTAAATAAAAGAACAAATATAGATAGTAGTAGTGAGACTTCTGTTTAATTTTTATATGCTACGTAATGCAGAATACACCTGAACATGTGCGTCCAAGATGAGGGCAGCATCAACAGGCCCGCCACATCCTTTCCTGCCTAATCCACTGCTTTGTTCCATAACTGTTTTACTGGTTTTATCTGACAGGTAGAAGTGGACATTAGGGTTCAATTGATTATTGGTCTGGCCAATTAGTTAATTGAATATTCAGCATTTTTCCAATGTAAATATAATTGTTTTTTGTTTACAGTTTTCTCAATAAGGGCTGCAATGTGGTTCGGTGGTTAGCACCGTCGCCTCGCAGCAAGAAGGTTGCCGGTTCGCGTCCCGGTGAGGAGATCCGTGGAGTTTGCATGTTCTCCCTGTGCAGCATGGGTTCTCTCTGGGTTCTCTGGCTTCCTCCCACAGTCCAAAAACATGTTGAGGTTAATTGGTGATTCTAAATTGTCCGTAGGTGTGAATGCGAGTGTGCTTGGTTGTCTGTCCTTAAGTGTAGCCCTGCGATAGACTGGTGACCTGTCCAGGGTGTCCCCTGCCTTTGTCCTAAGTCAGCTGGGATAGACTCCAGCTCCCCTGCGATCCTTGTGAGGATTAAGCAGTGGATGGATGGATGGATGGATGGATGGATGGATGGATGGATGGATGGATGGATGGATGGATGGATGGATGGATGGATGGATGCCCAATAAAATAAATCATCTTTAAAAATGCACTACTTTGGTTGTGATGCCATCTCTATCTATAATCACTTTGGGGCCTTAGGCAACATCTCACTCACAGCACAGTCTGATTGGTTACAAGCCAAATGTAATACCCTATTGACACTGAAGGACAAACAGTGAAAAGTTATTTTAATAATATGTAAAACATAAGTAAACAAAGCCATGTCAACAAAGTTTTGTGTTAGAGTTACTCTAGCTACTCTAAATTTTGATTTAAATTTTTACTGAGAATGTACATCGGTAACACATATTCGTTATTGGTCTACTCATTATCTGTACTGGCCCTGAAAAAACCACATCGATCTACCCTTAGTTGACATGCAGTAAGAAATGGTTTTGAATGACCTAAATGTTTCAGACAAGATGCATTTAAATGGCTGCTGTTTTTTTGTTAAAATGTTATCTTGAGGTCACAATTTTTACCCATTCGGTTAAACAAATCTGATATTCAAGGCTGTTAATGGTTGAATTTTGAAAAAAAATATTCTTCATAATAAGAAAACTCTTTTGTCAAACAAGGGCACTTGAACACATCTTGACATGCAAAAATGTAGACATGCTGTGCTAATGAGTTTGACTTAAATGACCTTAAATATTAAACACAAAGGACAAGAAAGCCTTGACATTAGGAGTAGACTATGAGAAGGACGAGTCCTCCTAATCATATATGTTTTATTCAAGGTATTCAAACAGCGGGGCAACTTGAGAGCTCTCTAAGGCTACTTAAACAACATTTAAGACAAACGTGCTTTGTCTGACTCAGCTCTGTAATGTTTCTGACACAATGAGGTCCTCTTGCTTTTTGTAGGACTTTCCTTTTTAAAATTCACATTAAAAATTATTTTGGTGAATTAAATAAAAACACCACATGGTGAAAGTTCATTATCAAGTCACACAGATAAGATTAAGTGTGCAAAGTATCAGTTTGTTTAAAAACAAAAAACAACATAGAACAATACACTATCTACTGTATGCCCGTAATAGCACTGGATGGAGGGCATTGGCGATCCACCCCCACTCAAGATTCCTCTCGACAATGAGCCCCTCTCTTCCGACCCAACACCCCACAACCCCTCTACCAGCCTCAACCCAACCCCAAAACCCTAGGGACATCTACTGTGCCCATTTTCATATCTAAGCCAGCCTCTTCCACCACCACCACCACATTCTCCCCACCCTCCTCAACAACCTCCTCCCATCCCCCCTTTCCTTCCATCAGATAAGCTAAACCCATCTATAGTCCCCTTTTCCTCTTGCACCCTTTCCCTTTCCCCCTTGTCCGTCTGCCCTGTCTGAGACCCCAGCTTAAAATCTGAGGGGACAGGGCAGGTTCTGAGGTAGGACAAACACACATGCAGTTGGTCTTAACACATGCACACTATTGCCCATTAGTATGAAAGTTTGATGGGCCTGTCTACCCACGTTAGAGGGAGGGGAGCACTGTCAGACAAAGGAGTGTATGTGTCCTCAAGCAATATGCTATAACATAGCCGTATGTTATAATTGAGGGCTTGGTGCGAACATATAGACAGACTTGGATGCCTGGTCCGATTTAGACAAATCTATAAATCTATTTTATTTTTTTAAATAGCCAACACACACAAACAAACAGATACAGTGACTCCCAGCACAGCCTGGAAAAATTATGCTCTATGGCTGATACTGAAGCACATTCTGCAGTGCTTGCAGTGTGGAGACCGCACACACATCCTCCCATTCCTTTTCACTATGTCCACATTCAGTGTGTGCACAGACCAGACTGGACAGATATCCTGAGGCAGAAGTACAGACACACCCTGACACGTTCTATTTCACTATGTCCACATTTGGGGTATGCATGCATCTACTCACACACACAGTAACTCTGGCCAACAGCTGTTGTGGCTTTGATGTCAATGCTAAGAACCAAAATAAAGAGAGGCCAACATAGTGCATGCAAATGCACACCTAAGAAATACAACTGGGTTTCCTTTTCTCAACCCTAGATTTTGTTCATGAACATACATGCTGAGCAAATACGGTCATTTGCTTTTACAGATTCATTAATATTTGCAGACATGCTTCCACTAACACTCAAACACTTCTCCCTCCCCCACTTATTTTCTTTCCATCAACAAGATTTCAAAGCCCATTTTGTTTCCTCTGCCACTGTTCCTCCCTTCCTTCCCCTCCCTTACCCCTTCCCCTCCTTTTGCTTCTCTCACTCCAACCAAGTTCCACAGCTGGAGGTGAAATCATTAGCAATACCCCCTCCCCGTTTTTGGCCTCGCCTCCCTCCCTCCCTTCCCTCTCTCCCTCCAAGCTTTCAGCAACACCTTCCTCAGCATCCTGCCTCCCCTCTTCCCCTTCTTCACTGTTTTTCACTTCATCTGCTTGCTTTTAGCACAGACCTTCGCTTGTGATGATGACTATCATTGACTGAAGTACACTTGTCTACTCCATTGCTAAAATGACTAGTAATACTATGTTAAAAATAAACACATATATATTTTTCTTGTTAAATATAAGTGTGTAGTTTCTAAAAAAGAAAAAAAAAAAAGGATACCTCAAGAGAAAAAGAAAACTATATGTGTAGTGAATACACTGTAAATATCGAGGGGTGCATGGATACATCATGTAGTAATCGGCTTATTAGCTGTAAACAGAAAGTTTTCACAACTGGCCATTAGCGGTTTATTGAAAAGAATCGACTGCTCCTACTTTGCCCTTTCAGTCACTTTTAAATGAACAAAAAAGTGGAGCAACGTCAGTACAACTGTCCATAAAGATTGTCCTTAAATTAACAAACATGCACAGTACATTTCTCTCTGCTCGGAGGGCAAGTCTCTCTAAACTTGTATCCTAAATAGTAACATACCATGTATAAGCATACTTTAGGCTTTGCAAAATGTAAAGCAGAGTAGCAATGTGACTTTCTTTGGCATTACTGTTCAAAATTTCTACACAACAAACATGATTAACTGCCTCAGAGCCTGTTACAGTCAACAACATCAAGCACTTCTCAAAGCTTTAGGCCCATCACTGAAAAAAGGGAAAGTAAAATGTTGTTATTTCTGCTATTTAGAAGTTTTTCATTTTGTGTGTGGCTTACCTTATCACTCTCCTCTCCATATGCGTGGTCTGGGTGGCAGTGGTAGGATCCACCAGAGGCTCCTGCACAGAGAAGGAAAGAGGAGAACAGGTCAGACGCTGAGCCATAACGAGCTTTAAAGCATCAGATTTTTTTCAAATTTTTCAATTTCTAATTACTTTACATTTGTGATCCGAAAATAGAGCAACAGCTCATTTCCATGAAATTCGAAAATACAATGAGGCATCCAGGACTGGCCTTGAGTTGTGATGTTACCACCACGGCCTTGAGCTACTTCACCAGTTAAAATATGCCACTGAATTTTTGATTTTGCTTTAAGTGTACTATCAGCCAAATAATTTTTGCCATATTTACAGATGGAACTTCTCACGCTCAAAAAGGTGGGTTTGAGTGTATTTCACAAGCACATGCTACTGTATTGTGTTGTGTATTATTTTACAATAAGATGCACAAAACATGCCGGTAATACCTTTTGTGGAAACTGAGAGCACCGTAATACCCAGTCATTGTGCTGGAGACCCCTGTTTATCTACGTACAGTGCATTTAATCCTTTCGTTGTTATTGTTCTAACACAACTTGGATTTAATACTCAACGGCAAAAAACAATGACAACATGTTTGTGAGAAGGGGCCACAAAAGTGACTGAAACACATATGTTGCACTCTTGTCTCAGATCAGAGGCAGTAGATGTTGGTGCGTGCACACACACACACACACAAACACACACACAAATGCACACACACAAAAAAATAAACACAGTAATCCTGGATTAGAGAAGCTTTCTGATGATACCGCCGCTTGCATCACAGCTAAGACTTTTACTCTTTTGTTTTTCCACAATCCTTTCATCTTTTTATTGTCTTTCTATTTATTCTGGCTTTTGTTATCCCTTTGTCATGGGGACGTCTTTGGTTGGGGACGTCCTCACCACAGATGGTGGCAGTGGTATACACACCAAGGGTAAGCACTCCCAAGGGCACTCCAGACAAGGCTACCTTTACAATGGAGATGAAGAATGCTAAACTGGAAGGGAATAGATGCAAAAAAGGCTTTTAAAAGAGCATTTTTCACCTATCGGCTGTTTGTTTGTGGGATTCTTCCTGCTCACAGCCTCCTTCTTTGAAGTAAAGCTATGACTGACAACAAAGAAGAGAGAGGGGAGAGAAAGAGGAAGAAGAAGCAGACAGAGTGAGGTTTTCACAACTGAATTCCTCAATCCTTAAAAAAGCCTTTCCTCTCATACTCCAATCCCTAGAGCAAGCAAAATAAATGGATTGAAAAGGTTGAGGTAAGTAAAGCTTATATTAGTGTAGTAAAAAAACGACTAAAAGGCTATTTCCACTGAGGTGATTTGCGACGGAGTACCGGTGAAGCATTCATGGGACTCGCCGGCTGCACGGCACTTTTCTGTACGACACTCATTCACTGATCACAATAGGCAAAAATCCAGCTCCCTCCCTGAATGTGGTCTCACTTGCACATTGTCAGAATCCTGTAAATTGAGTCAGAGACGAGTCATTCAGTCCGAGTCACTCTATGGAGGCCAACACAGAAGCTACAGAACGGGTTTAAAATGTTTCAATGACATCATGTCCACTGTTGGACTAACAGACTGAATACAATTTATTTTCTGCAGTTAGGGGCCTCAAGGAAAGTTGAATGGTGGGATTGCAATATGAATTGCAATGTGTAGGGAACTCTTTCACCTTTATCTCAGAATTTTTAAACAACAATAATAGGGAAGATTGAAATAACTATAGCAATAGGAAATATTTTCTAATGTGAAACTTCATTAGCAGACCAGACATTCTGCATAACAACAGGGTCCTCTTAAATCACCTATCTCCTGCTGGGACAGGGTCAGTGTTGACATGTACAGTATATGTAGTGTTGTTTGTGTAGTCTTAGTGTAACTCTTGAGTAAACAGAAGAAAAGTGACAGCTGGACCTGGAGACAGCAGCACAGCTCAAGAGATTTAAAGACAAGAACCACAACAGGACTGTCAGCATGAACACACTGCGACTGATAGCTCAGTACAGATCGCATTCAGGAAGAAACTGGCAACTCACACCCATAATACAGACACTCACAGCAGACAGAGTTGATGTCAGTGTTGTAAATGTTGGCGGGAAAGTGGTGAAAATAATTCAACATGAGGGGATGGGTGAAGAAGAGAATCTGGAAATATTTAACTGTTTAAACACTAATAATAATAATAATAATAATAATAATAATAATAATAATAATAGTAAATTCATGCTTTCCAACTAGGTTGTGTAGATTTTAAAAAGTCCTAATTTTTCAGAAGTTTTAATCATGGTTCAACAAGAAACGTTTTGAAGGTGTGTACATAAACTACTTTGACAACAGCAGTCTGCCAAGTTGCAACTTTCTAAACTGAAATTTGGGATGCAATAGCATCCAACATGGGGCAGCTTTCCACTGCAGGAACTCTGGTGTGCAAAATGGTGCGAATGTTTACAGGAACCCCATGATTGGGCTTTCAGCCTTTTGGTTTCCATTGCAACATAGCAACAAACAGCTTGAACCACGACGCTAACGCTGAGTACCAAAACGATGACAAATACTAACCACTGGGGCTAACTTCAGTCCTCTGAGTATGTAGGAAATAGAACAACTAAGGTTTGTTATGTTAGCCTATATGATGAATGTTGTGTCGTTGCCATGTTAGAGAGGAGTCTACTACTCCAGGAGTACATCAGAGGGCAGAAAAATGGTTGTTGTTCTCTCCGAGGTGAACCAATAAGGATCAAGCCCTGCACAGCAGTATTTCAGGGTCACTCAGATGCATCTAAACCTGAGTAGATACTTTTTCTCCCCCCAAAAAGGTTCAGGCTGCCCTAAAACTGCCTGAAAGTTCCTGCAGTGGAAAATGGCTTACAGAGAGGGGTGTGGTTGTGTGGTCAAGAAGTGGCCATAGTTGCTAAGAAATTGTGTTGCTTTTTGAATGACTACATAATACTACAATTCGTGCAAGCATAATAGGGTCAACGGATTTTTTGGGGATTTATTTATTTTAAATATAACAATTCAATCTCTTTTCTGCAATATAAAGCTGACAATATCAAATAGTAAAAAATGCTACGTTAGGAGGAGCACAGAAGTCACTGCACAAACTCTAAATATTAATATAGCTAAAAAAAATAACTTGGAAAAAAAAAAGAATGTAAATGATTTTATAAAATTTATAAAAGTGTGTTATACAAGTGTAGGAAAAGAATGTCTGCCATCAAGGCTGGCTTTGAGGACAATGTACAGAGTGAACAGTTTGCAGACCACATAAAACCATCCAATTTTCACAGTCAACCACACCTTCCCAATGGCTGCAGAAAATTGCCATTGACTTCAGTTGTTTGCTCGCTCTGGAAAACCAGCGCAGCGGTGATGGGGAGGAGAGGATGAAGAGCGAGTGTGAAGGAGAGAAATGCGGGTGACGAGAAAAGGGCAAAGTGGAGGTACAGAAGAAGAGGACAGGCCTGGAGATGCACATGAAAGGGTGAGAGCACTGAGGAGGAAAGGGAGACGGGAGCAGACATGGAGTGGAGGGAAAAACATAAGGAAACGACTAGAGGGAGAGAGCAGTGGAGGGTGAGAGAACAGCCAGAGAGAGGGAGCAGGGTGGGGGTTGTGGCTTCCCCTCTTGACTGCTATTGATTTTCTGTAAGCCTCAGAGTGCATCAGCTATTTCTATCCATTTCCTCCACCTCTCCCTCCCTTTCTCATCCCTCCCCCCTGCACTCAGCTCAGACACCCTCCTTACACATCCTCCTCCTCACACTCTCCATCACTTCATCACCATCCCTCCCAGCCACCGATCTATTTCCCTATCTGCCGGCCTGTCTCTCTCCCATATATTCCTGCAGCTTTATCGCACAGCATCCACGTTTCCTTTCCTTGCCCTATCGCACCATCTCTGTCCACCATCTCCATCACCCTCTCTCTTGCAGTCTTTCTCCTTTAAACTGCCTCTTCCTCGCTCATGTCTAAACAGGAAAACACAGTAGAGTGTGGGTGAATATAAAGGGTGGTTGAACAGATAAGATGAATGATAAGTGACTTAACAAATAAGCAGCTTGACAAACAGCAAAATAGACAGAAACCGCAACAACTGCTGCAGAACTTGTACCTATTCACGTGGCAAACACAGAAAGTCAAAATATTTTGGGGGGAAATTTAACATACATGTAACACAAACACACAGACACACACACACACACACACATATATATGTATATATATATGCACCTCTCACATCACCCCGCCTCCTGAACACATGTCACAGCACGCTTCACACCCTAGCGCAAAGCAGTCAAGTAACAAGCTGATATCCAGGCTTAAAATAGGCGGGCATGTAGCGCTTGCCCAGCCATTACCTGCTTCGCATGTGCTTGACGGCAAAAGAGTGTTTGTGAGCGTGCGTATAGAAATGGGAATGATTCTACCTCTCCTCTCCCACTTCATTGTCCTCCTACCTCTCCCTTCTCATTATCTTTCTCATTATCTTCTTTTCTGTTGTTACTGATGAAGTGCTTGAGGTTACTCCTCCATCCTGCGCTTCTTCTCAAGACTGAGAATTTGCATGCCACAGTTTTGTGTTTGTATGCAACATACTTGAAGAGGAGGTAGTTTGCGTATAGGCAGCAGCACTGCTTTGGCCAAAATGAGAACATGCACAAGGAACATGAAGAGGAAAAGAAAACTGAAATGTACATGTCAATAAATTCATAAGCTTATGTGCTAACCACAAACCCCCTCAGCATAACCCTAAAGAAGAACATTTCTATTGTATAATATCTAGAATATAAGCTTGGTATCTTTTGCTATGTGGTTAAGAACAGGTCTTTATGGGCCATTACTTCTCATCAAGTTAATATCAGTAATATCAGTTAATTTGATACACATCACTGATTTGTTTGGTTTTTACACAAAGCTCCTACCAGCAAAAAAAGAAAAAAGACCTCATTTAAAAAAGTCACTGCTTCAAAATATTAATTTCTCCCTGCACTCAAATGTATGCATATGCAAATATTGATGCTAGA